TACAAAGAGGACATGCAAATGGCCAAGAGACATACGAAAATGCTCAAAATCACTAATCATCAATTGAACAAGAGATGCAAAATATAACGACAGTGTGGTACCACCTCACACCTGCTAGAATGGCTACCATTAATAAATCAACAAACAACAAGTGCTGGTGAGAATGTGAAGAAAAGGGAACTCTAGTATACTTACTGCTGGTGAGAATGCAGACTGGTACAATCACTATGGAAAAGAGTGTGGAGTTTTCTCCAAAAATTAAAAATAGAACTGCAATGCCCAACCAGCATGGCTCAGTATTGAGCGTAGACCTATGAACCAGCAGGTCGTGGTTCAGTACCAGGTCAGGGCACATGCCCAGGTTGCAGGCTCGATCCCCAGGGTGGAGCATGCAGGAGGCAGCCGATCAATGATTCTCTCCCATCATTGATATTTTTTCTCTCTCTCTCCCTCTCCTTTCCTCTCTGAAATCAGTAAAAAACTGCCATTTGACCCAGTGATCCCACTTCTAGGATTATATCCTAAAAGGCCTGAAACAACAGTAAAAAAGAAAATATACACCCCTATTTTCATAGCAGGGTTATTTGTAATAGCTAAGATCTGGAAATAGCCCAAGTGACCATCAGTAGATGAGTGGGTTAAAAAGCCACAGTACCTTTACACAATGGAATACTATGTAGCTGTAAAAAACAAGGATCTCTTATCATTTGAGACAATATGGAGAGACCTGGAGAGTATTATGCTAAGTGAAATAAGCCAGTCAGAGAAAGACAAATACTATATGATCTCACTTATATGTGGAATCTAATGAACAAAATAAAATGACAAACAAAATAGATCCAGAGGCATGGAAGCATGCAAGAGAGTAACAATTCTCAGAGGGAATGGGAGGGGGCAGCAGGAAGAGAGTAACCAAAGAATTGATATGCATATATGCATAACCCATGGATGCAGACAATAGTGAGGTGAAAGCCTGGGGAGGGGGCAGGAGTAGGGAGGAGGCAATCAATGGGGGGGGAAAGATGACATCTGTAATACATTCAACAATAAAGATAAATTCAAAAATAAAAAGATGAAGAAGCAGAAAATATCCAATCATAACAGCAAATATTTATATTTTAAAGCATCACTTAAGGAGACTCTGGGAGAACATCAAGCATACCAACATTTGCATCATGGGGGTGCTAAGAGAAGAGATACAACAAGGAACTGAAAACCTATTTGAAAAAAATAATGAAAAAAAAAATTTCCTAACCCAGTGAAGGAAATAGATATACAAGTTAAGGAAGTGCAGACGGTCCCAAAGATAAATCCAAAAAGGCCCACACCAACACACATCATCATTAAAATGCAAAAGGTTAAAGACAAAGAGAAAAAAAAAGTGGCAAGAGAAAAGCACTTAGCTACCTACAAGGGAGCTCCCATAAGACTGTCAGCTGATTTCGTAACAGAAACTTTGCAGGCCAGATGGGATTAACATGAAATATTCAAAGTGATGAAAAGCAAGAACCTACAACCAGATTACTCTACCTTGCAAAGCTATCATTTAAAATCAAAGGAGAGACAAAGAGCTTCCCAGACAAGAAGAAGCTAAAGGAATTCATCACCATCAAACCAGTATTATAAGAAATGTTAAAGGAACTTCTTTAAGCCCTGGCTGGTTTGGCTTAGTGGACAGAGCGTTGTTGACCCTCCAACTGGAGGGTCGCAGGTTTGATTCTGGTCAAGGGCACATACCTTGGTTGCAGGCTCCATCTCTGGCCCTGGTCAGGCATGTGCAGGAGGCAACCAATCAGTGTGTCTTTCTCATATTGATGTTTCTCTTTTACTGTCTCCCCCCGCCCCAGCCCCCTTCCACTCTAAAAATCAATGGGAAAATATCCTCAGGTGAAGATTAACAAAAAATTTAACAAAAAAAAGTAGCAAGATGCCATGCAAGATTTTTTTTTTTTAAAGTAACTTCTTTAAGAAGGGGAAAAAAGATAAAAATATGAATAATAAAATGGCAACAACTACTTATCTATCAACAATTACTTTTTAAAAAAATATATATTTTATTGATTTTTTACAGAGAGGAAGGGAGAGGGATAGAGAGTTAGAAACATCGATCAGCTGCCTCCTGCACACTCCCTACCGGGGATGCACCCACAACCAAGGTACATGCCCATGACCGGAATTGAACCTGGGACCCTTCAGTCCGTAAGCCGATGCTCTATCCACTGAGCCCAACCGGTTAGGACTATCAACTATTACTTTAACTGTAAATGGATTAAATGCTCCAATCAAAAGAAATCATATGGCTGAAAGGAGAGCAAAACAAGACCCTTATATGCTCTCTATAAGAGACTCACTTCAGATTGAAATACATATGCAGACTGAAAGTAAAAGGATGGAAAAGATAGTTCATGAAAATGGAAATGGGAAAAAAAAAGGCTGGGCTAGCAATACTTATGCCAGACAAAATATATTTTATTTTTTTTAATCCTTACCTGAGGATATATTTCCATTGATTTTTACAGAGAGAGTAGTAGGCAGGGGGAGAGATACTGAGAGAGAAACATTGATGTAAGAGACATAGCAATTGGTTGCCTCCTGCAAGCGGCCCTGGGGGCCAGGATGGAGCCTACAACCAAGGTATGTGCCCTTGAGTGGAACTGAACCCAGGACATTTTAGTCTGCAGGCCGACCAACACTCTATCCACTGAGCCAAACTGGTGAGGGCCCAGACAAAATATATTTTAAAACAAAGGCTACAATAAGAGGTAAAGATGGACCCAGCAATTCCTCTTCTGGGTATTTATCCGAAGAAACCCAAAACATTAAACTGAAAAGACAGAGTGTGAGGGCAAAAGGAGGGATCTTCTAAAACATGCTTTGAAATTTTTCTGATTTTGAAAAATGGAGTCTCATTTGATGCCTCTAAAACTGGAGATTTAGACTTCAAATGGCTCCAAAGAACTGAAATCTATGGCAAGGATTTTTTAGCATATGTGCAATGGCCAAAACCAGGCATAGATGGCCTTTTTGTAGGCACTCAAGGGCTTTTGGAATGGAAGATCTTGTGTTTAGGAATGTAGGAAAAAAACAACACACAAACAAGTGGAAATTGGCAGTGTTTTGTAAACAAGGGGATATGATCAATAAAACTGGCAATACAGGGTTTAAATAAAGTGACAGGAGTCTCAGCACATTTTGGAAATTCCTATTTTGAATCGTGTACGTGGGTATAAATATGAAGCTAAGTCTCTCGTTTCCACTCCTTTCCAGTCTAAAATCTTACTATCAGATGGCCAAGTTCATTGTAATTTGGCATCTTATCTAAAATGACCTCCCCAAATGTGTAATAATAATGATTTCCAAACCCACTGATTGACTCTAACATCACATAGAGAATTCCAGGTAGAAGGGTTGAAAGTCTAAAATTGGGAGTCAATAACAAACAGGTATTTCAAGTCATGAGTCTGGATGAAAATAAACATGGGAATCAGTGTTTAGGCACAGTATGATTTGGCTTACTTCCCAAACAAGCAATATTCTATTTTCTTGTGCCTTCACCAGGCTTTCCTTTGCGTAAAATGATCATCCCATTGTTCAATAACTAGACCTAATTATAACATTTCCTCCATTCTGACTTGTGTTTTTTATTTTTGTAAGAGAACATTTATTGGGTAAATCAGAGGTAGAAAAAGTAATTCCTCGAAGAAATGGGCCTAGGAAACAAGTTATGGAAGTAAAGGAAGAGTCCCTGGAGCTTGGGAGTGAGGAAGCTAAAGGTAAGCGGGGAACGGAAGAGGAGGGTGCGGTGGAAAGCAAGGGAAAGGCACCACGTGCTCGGGAGAGGGAGAGCGCTAACTTGTGCTTTATAATATTAGTTACTAGTTTTGTTAACAGTTTAAAATCAAAGTCTTTTTCCCTTTTCTCTCCCCCCCCGCCCGCCAGAAAAAAATTTTCTTAAACCAACGGTCCATATTACAATTGAAAAAATAAATTCACTAACTACAGGTGATTTTGCTTGCAGGGTGAAACTTTCAGTTCTGCAGCCTAAAACTTCGCTTATCAAGTGCTTTTTCGGGTAGCATGCTACTGGTTGTCACAAGTTTGTGGGTGTAATGGGGGAGTGGGGGTGAAGGCTACCTGCCTCCTCTTTCTCCTTCAGAAAAAGGGTTAGGCACGAGGAGCCTCTAGCGGCTTGTCTGAAGTCTGCAGCGCAATCACAAACAAACCAGAGCCTGCACTTAATCTTCGTGCACCTGATCCCAAACTGGGCTCTCAGCCTGCCACGCTCTGAGATGTGCCCTCTTCCACCTGCCCCGGAGCAGAGTTAGAGACAAGCCCCCCCCGCCCCCATGAGTGGCTCTGGCCTCACCCTAAGTCCCCAAAGTCAGTCCCCAGAGCATATCCTTGCCCAACCGCCTGCCTCTCTGGCTCTGATCGCTTACGGGAAGTTCGCATCCACTCGAGCAGCGCTGGGCGGTCGGCTGGAGCCACGGTACCAAGCAGTTGCAGTATCGCTTGCCGCGCGGCGCTTAACTCCATGTTGCAGCAGAAAGCAGCGCTGGGAAGGTGCGCGCCGCGCACGCGCAAGCGGAGACCGGTAGCGACAACTGACCCGCCTCCCCAGGCGGCGGACGCCCTAAGCCCCGCCCCCTCCTCGGAGTTCTCCAGAGCGCGAGGAATTCCTACACTTCAGCGCGCCCTCAGCTCTCACCATTCCCCTTAAATAGCATTGCTTAGCTTAGTCACTTTTTCTTAAGGCGGCTCCCCGAGGCCGGACTTCTTTCCTGAGGTCGCCTCCTATTTTAACAACTTTGCTGCCACCGTTGTTGAGCGATAGAAAACGAAAGTCTAAAGTCGGCGCGAGTAAAGGAACATCTCAATATACCCCTTCCACGCAGTGAAGGAACGCGGCGGGTGCCCCGGAAGCGGAAGTGCATCCTCGTCTTGAAAGGCTGGATTACACTGAGTGGTGACGTTTCCTCATTGGGCGGAAGGTTCGGTGGCAGTCGTCGGACTTCCAGCTGGTGGGAGTTGGCGTCGCAGTGCTGGGCTCTGGGGTTCGCGTTTGTGTAGTTTGGAAAGTCGGTCTGCGGCGTCGTCCCTACCGGTCTGATCCCGGGTTTCTTCTGATCAGTCCCACGGCGTGGGGCCTCGCGAAGGAATCCCCGGCCCCTTTGGGCCACGGCCGTAGAGGTGCCTTCAGAGGTAAGTGTCTGCTTTTTCCCGCCCCAGACTGGCAGCTGGCGGCAGCCCCGACCCCGCTTAGGGGGCGAGAGACTCCGGAGAGAGTCCACTTGCCTGGCCACCTGCTGTCATCACCGGTGCCGAGGTGCTTTGGCCCCTTTTCACCTCGTTCTGCCCATCAGAAGTTTTATTAAAAGATAATCTGTGATCCTTTTCAGTTGACTTCGGATCTACTCGAGCCAAATTACCTGTGTAGGCAATTGCAGGCCTGACTCTCTGATTTGCTCTCCTGATCAAGAATTTAGTTATGACTGTTTCCCCGACAGTCTTTTGACGTGTCCCACATTTTATATTTTCATGTTCGCTGTGCTTAACACATTGTTCTGCATGTAGCAGGCGTTCAGTAAGTGAGTAAGGAATATCAGTGTCAGCGATGACTTCCGATGTGCTGATGGCTCTCCGTAGCATTGAACACTATTACCCATCCGTTTCTTGAAACTCTGTCTCCTGTTGGCTTTCTTGATGGTATTCCCACCCGCTTTTTTTTTTTTCATATCCTTAATTCAACAAAACAGTTACCCGTTGTTAGCTATAGGGATACAGAAACGAATGACACAAACCCTGTCATTGAAGAGCTAGCATTACAATAAAAGAGAAGCATGTAAATGTATCCTATATCCAGATGAGCAATGAGAAAGTCTGGAAAGATGAGCCAGGAGAGCTGTGGGAGTACAGATGAGAGGTGCAGTGATTTGTGATCCTGACTGAGCAGATCCCATCTAGCCTCCGTCTCCTCATTACCTAATGAGTTTATTAACAGGATGTTGATAGTGGAGGAGGTTATACATATGTGGGGACAAGGGGTTATATGGAAGCTCTATGTACTTTCTGCTCAGCTTTGCTGCGAACCTAAATCTGCTCTAAAAGCAAAGTCTGTTGATTAAAATTTTAAAAAGAGAGAAAGGAGGATTGAAAGATTAGGTAACACGTTTGGTGCAATGCCTACAACAGTCTAGCAGTGGTGGTCCTGAAGGGGAGGGGAAATATTTCCCTGAAACCTCTTTCACTTGATTTTTTGATGTGGACAGTTAGTATTTTCTGACTTAATGTAGTACTATGCAGAAGCATCTTCAAGCCCTCCTTCCGACAGATTACTTCTCTAACTCCAGCTCTCTGGAAATTCTGGACCTGCCACCAAGTAAGATAACCATAAATAGTAGCTTTTTTATTTTTTTACATTGATGCCTTTCTGTGTGCTTTTGGGAAATGGAATTAGTAAAAGCTTCTATCCCTTTGATTATGCTCAGTCCCAATTGACTCTCCTTTTAGTTGGCCCTTGACTATGGCTACAAATGAAACAGTCTTCCACAAATTCTCCTGGAGGGTTCTCATCTATATCCATGGCGTCCGTGGCATTATTCTTGTATGCCAAACATTTCCAAATATTTTCTCTACTTTCTATCTCTGAGCGATATAGTTCTTTAGTTCTGCAAATGTTCTGGGTCCAAACCCAAATTCCTTACCCCCCCCGTCCCCCCCCCCCCCCCTTTTTAAAAATCATTACCTATATCTTAGATACAAAGGTGTATAAAAGCAGTGATCCCTAGTGAGTTTTTGACCCTTTGTTTCTAGTTGAATTTTGTATGTTATTTGTATGTTCAGTTAAAAAGGATAATAAAGTCAACATCTATGTATTTAATATCCAACTTAAGTAGTAAAACATTACAAATAACCTTTAATCTCCTTGAACCTTTTTTCTAGTAACTCTAACTTTCAAAACAGCTCCTTTTTTTTCTTTTTCCTTCCACATATGGGTTAATGGCATCACTAGCCATCTGGTTTTTTAAACTGGAGACCTTACAGTCACTTTTGCCTTTTGTTTCTTCTTCATTCTCCACAACTACTTGGCTATTAGGTCCTATAGATTCTGCTTTATGAGTTGGGTCTTGACTCCAGCCCCTTCACTCCATTTTACTTTCTGCTTCCTTAGTTCAAGTATGTACTCTCCTTGCTCTCAAGTTTTTCTCACTCTAATGTGTTTGCTACATTGTTTATAATTTTTAAAATAGAACCGATTTTTTCATTCTCTTGTTTCCTTTGAGGAGTATTGATTCATACAGTGATTAACCTTGGCTGCACATCAGTATAGCCAGTGAAGTTTTTCAAAATATAGATGCCTTTTTTTGCTCTTCTAATAAAAAATTTAGATGAGACTACTTTCTAGAAACCTTCTGAAGTTACTGTCTTTGGAGATTATGATAGAGTGTTTAATTTTTAGCTGGTATTACCTAAATGTTATTGAAATAACCCATTGCCTATCCCTCTTCCTCCATATGTTCTTTTCAGCTTCAAGGCAAACTATTTCCAAGGAACTTCTTTAACTTTCCTTTAATTTTTTTTTTGTTGCTAACAGTTTACATAAAGATTGTTTTAATGATTGACCTGACAGCCAAAAGTATCTTAAAGAAATGATTGCCAGTATTTTTGAGTTATTACCCTTTTTTGCTAATTGAATTTTTGATATACCTTTTCTGCTATTAAAGTGTTGCAGTGATTTTATTTTTAATATTAAAATGGGTTTTAAAATTTGAAAATTTTAATGAAGAAAGAATTTTCTGAGACTTTTTGACATAAAGGAATATAACTTTTGCTGCAAAATTAAGACCATTCCTCATTTCTATTTCCCTCTTCACTCTCCCCAAGTCATCACACCAGTGAAGTCATTGGTGGTGTGATATATAGTAGTAATTTATCTTTTGAAGTTAACACAAGAG